TTTCTGGGATTGGCGGGGTATTATCGCAGGTTCATCCAGGGATTTTCCAAAATTGCGGGTCCACTTACTCATCTGACTAAGAAGAATGTACCATTTGTATGGGATGATTCTTGTCAGACTGCTTTTGCTGAATTGAAGAGCAAGTTAACTTCTGCACCTATCTTAGCCACACCTCAGAGTGGAATCGAGTATTTAGTATTTACCGACGCTTCTCTGAAGGGTTTGGGTTGTGTGTTGATGCAAGAAGAGCGACCAGTTTCTTATGGGTCTAGGAAGCTTAAGCCTCATGAGCTTAATTACCCGACTCACGATCTAGAGCTCGCAGCAGTAGTTTTTGCCTTGCGTATTTAGAGGCATTATCTTTTGGGGGAGACTTTTCGATTGTTTAGCGATCATAAGAGTCTACAGTATTTGTTCACACAGAGGGAACTGAATATGAGACAGCGCAGATGGTTGGAGTTCGTGAAAGACTATCATTTCTCTATTCAGTATCATCCAGGGAAAGCGAATGTTGTAGCAGACGCACTCAGCCGCCGACCCTATGTCAGCCTTTCAGCTTTGTTTGCAACAGAGTGGGATGCTTTGAAGACTGTTGATGAGTTAGCAGACGCTTTTATGGCATGTGTGGTAGTAACTCCTTCTATCATTCATCAGGTCATTCAAGCGCAACTCTCAGATCAACAGTGTATTGATTTGGTTTCGGAGTTAGCCTCCGGAGATGTTCCTTTTTATTCTATAGGGACTGATGGAGGATTGAGGTACAAGGGACGTTTAATTGTGCCTTCAGCTGACAATTTGAGAAATGTTGTGATGAGAGAGACACACACTTCTCAGTTCTCTGTACATCCAGGGGGAGACAAGATGTATTAGGACATGAAACGCCAGTTTTGGTGGGCCGGCATGAAAAGAGATATAGCTATCTTTGTCTCTAAATGTAGCACCTGTCAGATGATTAAGATTGATCATCAGAGACCGCCAGGATCGTTACAGCCACTTCCCATACCAGAGTGGAAATGGGAAAGTATTTCCATGGACTTTATAGAGGGATTACCTACTTCACAGCATAATCACAACTCTATTTGGGTCATTGTTGATAGATTGACCAAGTCCGCTCATTTTCTTCCTGTTCGTTCAAACTTTACGTCAGAACAGTATGCTAAGTTGTATATTGCAGAATTGGTGAAACTTCATGGTGTACCATTGTCCATCGTAACAGATAGAGATCCGAAGTTTGTCTCAGGATTTTGGAGAAGCTTTCAGCAGGCTTTGGGTACAGAACTTTATCTTAGCACTGCTTATCATCCTCAAACAGATGGACAGACTGAGCGAGTTAATCAGATTTTAGAAGACATGTTGCGGGCATGTGTTCTTGATTTTAAGGGCAATTGGGAGGAATATTTGCCGCTTTCAGAGTTTGCTTATAACAATAGTTATCAGAAAACTATTGGTATGGCACCATTTGAGGCTTTGTACGGTAGACCGTGTAGGTCTCCTGTCTGTTGGCTTGGAGTTGGTGAGAACAGCTTTTTGGGTCCTGAATTTATTAAGGACACGTCAGAAAAGATCGCTATCATAAGGGATCGGATGCGTACAGCTCAAAGCAGACAAAAAAGTTATGCTGACCGTCGAACTCGTGCTTTGGAGTTTAAGGTTGGTGATCAGGTTTTGCTTAAGGTTTCTCCTATGAAGGGAGTAATGCGGTTTGGGTCAAAGGGTAAGTTATCGCCTCGTTTTGTGGGTCCTTTTATGATTACAGATCGGATTGGGGCAGTAGCTTATCGTCTGGCTCTACCAGATAATCTTCATAGGGTACATAATGTTTTTCATGTATCTATGCTGCGAAAATTTCTACGGGATGCAGATCGATACCAACACATTGATGTGGGTGAGATTGAGTTGCAACCCGATGCAACCTATTTGGAACAACCTTACTGTATTCTCGATCGTAGGAATCAGATACTGCGCACGAAGACTATTCCATTAGTACGTGTACAGTGGAGCCATCATAGTGCTACAGAGTCTACTTGGGAACGGGAAGATATTATCCGTGCCAAGTATCCAGAACTTTTTAAGACAGGTATGTAGTGAATTTCGGGGACGAAATTCCTTTATTAGGGGGGGAGAATGTAATACCCCGTAATTTTTAAAGAAGGTATTTAAATTAATTTTGTGTTAGGTTAATTAATTTTATTTATTTCTGCATACTACATTATTATATTAAGTTCATTTAATTGTGCATGTAAATTAATTGTGTATGTTAAAATAAGTAAATTTGTTCATGTAATTATGCATGTATTCTTATTAATAATTTTATTTGTTGGTTATGCTTATATTAATCATTATTAGTTAAGTAAAGTATTATATTTGTGTTATATAGTATTATGATGATATAATGTAGTATTTTGTAATAATAATAATTATATTAGTTTAATAATAATAATAATAATAATAATAATATAAATAATAATAATTATAAAAGTTTTATTAATAATAATATTAGTAATAATAATATTAGTGTTAAATCAAGGTAATGATGAAAAATTAAATACTAGGATAGAATTTCATTTACTATAGTAGAATGGTGGATCAAATATCTTGATTAAGATAGCATTGTCTTAAAGCCATATAGGTAGGAATATGAGAAATGGGTGAGAAGTTATTATAAATTAGATATTTGTATTATATATATTATATAAGTTTGTATATATATATTAGTAGCCAACTTACTCTAAAGGCAACTTACTTAAGTTAGAAAGCTTAAACATTCTAGTGAGCTATTTTATAAGAGTGAAAGGAAAAGAGAAAGAGAAAGAAGCTTGGACAGGTGTAGGCGATTTTACCCGACTACGCGCAACCGGCAGATTTATTTTAAATCCAAAAAGGCAAGTTATTATCTACTTTTCCCCTTTGAATTAATAAATTAATTGTTTAGCTTATTTTTATGCATAGAGCCAAGGTTTGGAGGTTAATAAATTATTAATTTTATTTTATTAAATTAATGGAATTTTAATTATATAGGATGGTATATATTTATTTAATGTCCTATGAAATTAATAATGGCTAAAAATAATTAAATAAGACTTTAGGGATTTTTCTAGAATTTTCTAGATTTTTCCGGGCATTTTCTGCAATTTCCGGCGACCTTCCTGCGAGTTTTCCGGTCGCCGGCAATGGGGGAGACGACCGGAGTGATCCGGTGTGATGCGGCGCACCATAGGAGGGTATGCGCGCGCATCTGGACCATTAAATAGCAGCGATTGATCCGGTGCACCGCGGTCCATGTTACCGCGGTACACCCGGATCCGTGAACGTTGGATGGAGGAGATGTAGGTGGATTGATCCGGTGTGGCGCGCATGTAGGAAGTTGATGCAGCCAACCAACCGGAGGACGCCACGTCAGCAGGAAGCCATCAACGCGCGCGTGGGAGCGCGTGCGCGCGCGTGGAACGCTCCAGACGCGCGTGGGAGCGCGTGAGCGCGCGTGGCTGACGCCAGACGCGCGTGGAGGCGCGTGGGAGAGTGGGAAAGCTTGGCGGCGCGTGTGGGGAGCTCTGGGAGGCGCGTGGGGGCGCGTGAAGGGCCTCTGCGGCTGTTGGAAAAGTCCAGAATACCCCTAGGGACTGTTTTGTCATTACCAGGACCTTCACTATACATTTTGGGGCCTCGGGTTGGCATTTTTGGAATTAACGGGACATTATATTATTATTTTATTTCTCGTTAATTATTATAATTGTCCGATTAATATTTCTAAATATTAATTGTATCAGTTAAAGTGCGAATCGCTAGTAAACATATGTAATTGATTTAACGACTATTAATGGTATTATTTTAGTAAACTGTAATAACCATTAATGTTAAATTAATTAGTGCTTGGTTTTATTTATATAAATAACCCATTATATATTATGGAATATTTATACTGTTAATCGTATATAAACCATGATGATTATGCTGTGTGCATTTCAGGGAATAAATGGACTGTTTATTATGTCGCATTTATATTATATGGATGTGTTGCCATATAGAACCATGTGAGCTGACTAATAAGTTTAGACTCATTTATACCTTATGCATTCGTTGCGATAGACAGATGTGTGGCTGTCGGGGTATGTGGTTTAATATTATGGGCATGTGTTGCCTAATTGACATTCTCGGTATATTTATTAATATTGTTGGCATGTGTTGCCTAATTTATATGCTCAGTATATTCATCAGTACTTTGCGAGGTGTTATCACTGCGTAGTTTGTTATAGTCTGTGTTGTCAGTACCGTGCACCATGTATAATAGCTGATTTCCCGGGTAGGGAAAGGCGACACTTGACCACCTAGTGTGAGTCTAAGTGATCACCGTCTATTCTGGTTGAGGTCATGTTATACATCGGATAGTTCCCGTAGGATGTATACAGATATAATACTCAACCGATTCATAATGATTAATTTATTTGATTCTCTGATTTGGGTCATAGTAGAGAGGACTTGCTCGTGGGGTTGACCCACCATTGTTGTTATTTCAGGATACAGTCAGTATCCGTTTCAAGGCTGAGGTTAGCAGTGTGGGACCATCATCCGAACTCATCTACTCTTACGATCCAGTGCAGGGTAGAAGTTTTATGTAATACTTCAGTTTCAGTTTTTATTTACTTTTGACGTTGAACTCTCAGGGTTATATTTAGATATCCCTGACGTAGGATTTACAAGTTGTAATGAAGTACTGTATTAAATAAAGGATGGATGGATGTTGTATTATTTAATGTTTGTTTCCTGTCTAAATTCTTTTATTTTCATCATTTTGTATTCCATGCTTGTATATTGCCAATTGTTTTTGATATCCCTCGTTTTTCGTGTATAAGCCTGATCAACTTATGCGTGAAAAATGTGGGGGTGTTATAGCTAGTGACTAATTATGTAAGTGACGTCATCCTTCAATCATAAATTCAGTATAATGTGTCCGATTTTTTCAACCCCGCATCTCTAACTTATAATTGGGAAAAAATCAATCATACTATGGCCAACTGAATCTCGAATTCTATATCACCGATAGATATTGAGTATGCTGAGTGCACGATGCACCGCCTCAGTATGATTGATTTTTCCCAATTATAATTTGACTTCAATGAAGCTGGTGCAGGGTGCACCCAATTCCTTCTCCTATGTCACAGCCAACTCAACGTCGGAAGAAATTTAGGAAGTTGCAAAGATTACATTCTCACTTTTGGAACACGGCTTTTTGGGAATCTCCATTTCAGTGCGTCACGCTTCGCATCTCTTACACTTGCCAACTCATTCAATTCGCAAATTCACACACTCTCTCACACGCACACCTCCTCCTCCTCTTCCTCGTGATTGGAGTAAAAGTCTCAGTTATATGGGCCATTCCTTCAGCAATTGCTCTTCTTCGCACCAACCATGGTGTTTATCCAATAATCGAACCAGATTAGGGTTTATTCGGGGACGAACTTGAATTTCAGAATTAGAGTCTCACAACTTGTTCTGATAATGGAGGTTGTTGGACTTGTTGAGTTGTTGAGAGCGGCATGGATCGCCGGGACTTTGCCCATTCTCATCGCTTCAATCCCTTCGTCGCGGCTGAGGTCCTTTCATAATCTTTTGTTAGAGTTTGCCAGGAGAGGGAAGATAAATCAATCATCCTCACAAGTAAGTGATCACATCTATGTGTGGTGTGTGCGTGAATTATATTTATTATGGATGGCTTCAAAATTCTGGTTGAGATTAAGGTTGTTTCTCTCTGGGATTTTGGGTTCCAAATTCCAATCCCATTCTTTTTGTATTCTTTTACTCTGTATTCGATTTGAATTTGATAGCGCCAAAATCTCAAGTTCATTTGACTACTGAACTTGAAGTAAGGTGTTTAAATTTGGCGTTGAATATATGACAATGTAGCGACTTAACGTCATAATTGGATAATCCATTAAGGATTCATGGTGCTTATGTGACATTCATTGTTAAATTTTTTGTTTTGATTATTTATTTATTTATTATTAGTCTTTTTTATGGAGTTTTTTTATTCAATTATTTTGGATTTTTGAAGTATTGATCTTAGAATTTGAATTTTTTAATTGTTCATTAAATATAATTACGAAATTTATATAGCATGTGAATGGGTTTGGACAGTTTCCAAAAGGGTAGAATTGTTCTCCTTTAATTATTCATTTGAAGGTTTTTTTTTAATTTGAATAAAATTGATTCTATTTCTTTCTTTCTTTTAGTATTACAATTTGGGTTTTCTTTTCAACTTGGGGATACAATTTTAATATCATTTGGTCAAATTTTCTAATACATTGTTTCCTGTGACTTTTTCATTTGTAGAAATTCACTGTTCCTCAGAGATTTTTCTGTCATTTTTATGTGGTGGCTGTGGCATGGACAACATTCTTGCTTGTTGCAACTTGGTTTTATGCATATAGAATGGCACCAATGGTCTCAGAGCCATTGCTTTATTCTACAATTACCACCCACTTGACAGGAGGTTCAAATATTTTTTCCTCGCATAGATCTCACACCACAAATGTAAGACAAAGATACATGGTTTGGCAATCTGTATTTCTGCTTTTGTTGATGGAAGCTCAAGTCTTGAGGCGCCTTTATGAGTCAATATATGTATTTCAGTACAGTCCCTCCGCTCGGATGCACATTTTTGGCTATCTTACTGGCCTATTGTAAGTTTCATGGAAGACTTTATGATCTCTAATTTATTTGGTTCAATTTTCTTGGTAAAATCTTCTCTCCTTATTATATTTGAGTTTTGAGTTACGAGTCACTGGATCCCACAAAGCATGATCTTTTTATGAAGATGCAAGTCAATAGCCAAATTGTCCATATATTAATGCATAAGTAGTATATTGATTAACTAGTTGTTCCAGACTTCCAGTATGTATACTTGATGACATCAGCTATATAATAATGATGTATTTGTTATTTCTTTTGTGTGCGTAGTGTTAGATATTATTTTTCTATATTGTTCCTTGCTTGTGTTGGTTGTTTTTCTAAATGACCATAAATTGAATTACATGGATGTGTTATTTCGGGATCCTTTATTGTGTAGTACTTAACTTTGGAGTTTCTTAGGGGTCTTCTCTTGGAACTTCATCTTGCTACCGTTTTGAAATAGTAGTTCTAAAGCACCTTTTATTTCAGAAGTTTTCTACGGAAACTTCATGCTCATGACATCTACTAGTCTATCTACAGAGTGTTATTAAGGTCTTAAATTTGGAAATATATATCAATACATGATTTATGTGCTATTAATGTTGTTAGGCTCATGCTTAGGCTGCTTTTGCAAGGTTGGGTTATTGTGCCTGGGAATTATTACTATTTCTCATTATTCCACTGGATTCTGCACTCCGTTTCAATTTTTCATTCTTTCTTTGGCTGCATTGTGTTTGTTACTAGTTGACACTCTGATCTATAAGAGATACAAATTATAAATTATCTTGTTGATGAATCAAAACTACTAATGTTCTGTTGGTAGTGCTGAAGTGTTTGTTATGCTGCAAGCAAGACTTCCTTTATTTTATATTTGCCCCACTTTTTTAAAGTGTCTAGAGACTGAATCTTATGACTTTTGGTGTTCTTTTTTGACCAATGATGGAACCCATGCTACAAAGTTGATCGGAATTGAACTATGAGTTTTGTTGCCAGACTCTTGGATCTGCTTAAAACATTTTGCAAGATGGTGCTGTTTGAAAACTAAATTCAGTGCTTAATTCTGAACGGATTAAGTACTTATTCAATTAAGTGTGTTTCATAACGTAATTTGAATGTTACTGAAAAATGGTAAGTGCCACTTAAAATGGGGTAAAATTTTAAGTGATAGGGGCATCACTTGTCACTGAATGCTGGACGCTGAAAATTCAAAAAGATTTTAAATATATATATATTTTGAAATTACCACTTGAAAATTTCAGTACTTAAAATTCAGCTCTTAAAATTTCCAGTACTTGATTTTCAGTTTTATCAAACAGCACCCGCTTTCTAACATTTTTTTGTGTTGGAATGAAAAAGTGAACAAACAATAAATAAATAGTTTTTGTGCTGGGAAATATTGTCTAATTTATCTTATTGTACTGTGTAAAATGATTTCTCAACAGTTTATGATTGTTATAGAACTATTTATGAATCGTTTTAAAAATGTCTTTAGTAATGATAAACACCACCTTGACATTTGGTTATGGCAAATACATTATACATTCTAATTTTCTTACCATTGATGATACTGTGAAATGTTTGTGTTGGATGACTTTTTACTGATATGTGGTATTTTTTTGGAGTTCAGTTTCTATACAGCAGCTCCGCTGTCACTCTGCTGTACTTTTGCACCAGAGGGGTTTAAATTTGTGGCAGATGAGGTGGCTGAGTATATTGTTAAAGGAAAGAATCAGATGCAAGTCACTGAATTTGATTCGTGGGAATTTGTCAATCTGCTTTTAAAGCTTAGCTGGTACTCGTGGATAGGTGCGGCTATATTTTCTTGGGGTTGGTTTCATCAACGCGAGTGCCATGCAATTCTTGTAAGCTTCACATCCTGTCATAATCACTTTCCTGATATAAATGTTAAATTCTTAGGTTTCCAATTCTGTTGTTGATCAATTTTGTCAGTAACAAACGCTGAAAATAAATACTTGGATCTGGTGAAGAATAGAAGATATTTTAGCTGCATGGGTAAACCAACACTAATGACGTTTTTCTTCTATGACAAATAAACTCCATGTACTATAATACTTGATTCTTTTCTAATAAAATTCCAATTAAAAAAGAATAATAAACTCCATGTAGATTTTATGCAGTAACTAATGCCAATGAAAACTAACTGAGCCACAAGGATCTGTTTTCTGGTGCCAATGATTTTCTCCTTGAGTTTCATGTGCCCATAAGAAGGTTTAGTTGGGGTTCTTCATAAGTGATGGTGTCACTCCCCGAATTCTAAGAACCCAGTTCATGAGAAAAGGATGGTAAACCAGACTCCAAAACAAGTCCTAAGTGCGGAAGCAAACAAAAGTTATTGAATAAAAGATTGGTAAAATTCACCACTCGTGAAACCAACAATTAACCTTCATTTAGACCCATGTCAAGCTGTAAATAACTACCTTAGTCCCTTGAAGACTTCCCAAACAACCCCTAAAGAAAGAAGAAAAGAAAGGAAGAAGTTTTAATTTTGCGCCGGTGCACCAGGGCAGAAAACTTGCAGTTTTTCTGAAATAAAAGGGGGAAACCGTTGCACAGGGGCAGAAAACTTGCACCGGTGCAGCGAACTGGCTGGATTTTTTGGAAAATCACCCCAAACGCATGCACTGGTCAAAAGTCGCACCGGAATAATTCTAATTAAAATTAAGAGGTCCAAAACAATGAACTAACACATTGAAAAATATTTTTTACAAAAGTCAGTGTGGTATCTTAAGTGTCGTGCGAACTGTTGTTTCTAAATGCTGCACTAGGTTGCAATTTTGAAACACTATACTTTGAGGGAATGCACTAAATACAAGGAAGGAATGGTAAAAAAACAGGAATATTTGGAAGTATATGTTCCAAGAAGTTAACTATACCGAGTTCTCTCAAACTTATATAAAAAAAATAATTTAAAAATTAAAAAAATTAGTGTGGCATCTCAAGTGTCATGCAAACTGTTGTTTCTAAATGCTGCACTGGGTGGTTGCAATTTTGAAACACTACTTTGAGGGAATGCACTAAGTACAAGGAAGGAATGGTCAAACAACAGGAATATTTGGAAGTATATGTTCCAAGAAGGTAATTATACCGAGTTCTTTATTTTAGTAATTTCTGTTGTGAATTCACTTTATTTGTGGCAATTTCATTGTCATTTCTCTCTGTTACATTATGTAGATAGTTGATTTGAATTGTCAATGATTTGGGCATTCTTGCATTTTATTTCATGAAATCTCTTTTGTGCAATGGTAACATATGGATTTGAATTGCTTTGGAGGAATGAATTGAGCTTACTTTGCATGTCATATAGTGTAGTCCTATGGTTTAACTACATTCCCCCAGGTAGGATTTTGGAGCCCCACTTGGATCTCTTATGCAATTCTTTTGTACCATCATTGACTCTACTCTTATTCAGGGCTCATTGCGAGAGAGCACTGAACAAGTCGATGATTATGTAATTCCTCATGGTGACTGGTTCGAATATGTTTCGTCTCCTCACTACCTGGCTGAGATTGTAATTCGCTCCCTCCGACTACTATTATTTAATTTTTTGTTTTATTTTTTGGGTTCAAAATAGTGGCTTAACATATCAGTGTCTCAAAATAGCGGTTGGACAGTATAGACTATATGTCAGAAAATTAAACAAAAACAAGTCATTGTGAATTACTGAAGCTTTTTCCAATACGATTTTGATGGGTTAGCTTCTGTGCTATAAATGTAGGTGATATATGCTGGTCTTGTGGTTGCTAGTGGTGGTGCAGACATCACAATCTGGTTACTTTTTGGATTTGTGGTATTTTTCTGTTTTCTTTTCACTTGATAAAATTTGATGCTTCATTTTATTGTGCTTGCTTCAGACCAACAAACCCTGAACTTCTTGTACTGGACGACAGGTTGCAAATCTTGTACTTGCAGCAGCAGAAACACAGAGGTGGTATCTCCGTAAATTTGACAACTATCCCAGCAACCGACTCACCATCATTCCATTTGTATATTAATGCTTATCGCACAGAAGAGGTATCTTCCAAGTCGGACAATTTTCATAGCAGCTGGTTCATTGCTGCTCCTTATATTGCTGCTCCTTGTAATTATTTACTGTATCTTATTGATATGTTTGTATATACTGTGTATTCCTGTAATAACCACCACGCAATTCAGTAAAACTAGAAGCTCATATGTCTTTGGCCTTGTAAAATCTTGATTGGAATTGCTGTGGTTTGGTTTCCATTGTATCAAGTTCAAGGAAAGGGGTGGTTACTATCTGATTAGAAGTTTCTTATTCTATAAATGCAAAAGAAAAATCTGGTAAAAGAAGAAAATTTTGTTACAGGACACTAAAAATAGATGCATTTGGATGGCATCATTGTTTCCAATCACCTCCGATACCGGGCAAGGATGCGGAGAGTCGAACCTTGGTTCCCACACCACTCAGAGGAGTGCCCTTTGTTAACTGGGTTACCCAATTCACCCCGATTGTATGTTATATTTTTGTTAATTAGAATAGACGAAAAACTACATTATATGAGGTTGGGACACCTGTTTTTTACAATTGTCAATTAACGATGCCAAATTAGGATAAGTAATTAAAGGCATATGAAAATTCACTATTTTATAAATAATATGAGGACCAAATTGCATTTTCTTGTCGTCTTCCACTATTTGAGACGCGACTCAAGATTTATTAACAATGTAACAGGATTTTTTATTTTTTTTTGGGAAAGTAACAAAATAACAGAGTTGCTCTCATGAAAAAACATTGAAAAAATAATTAATTAGGAGTCTGTAGTGAATCATTATCATTATCCTAAATAGAGTATGGCAAGTAACAACTATGAATTTCATTAAGTATGGGAAAGTTACAGAATATTCATGTTCTCTATCTTTGCATTTGCCTTGATACTTTTAATGATAATTGTTCTAGTGCTAAATTTACTAATTCAATCACCTACACACATAATATCCATAAAGAGAGTTGGTAATGAAAAGTTAAATTCATTGAGTGAAAGGAGAACAAATCAGAGACATCTATGTTTGCAGCTTCTTGGACCATAACACTAGCAATGATTGTTATTCAGTTTACTGCAAATTTGCTTTGCTATCCCTCAATACATTTTGAGCACACTTGTAGCTGTCTGCTACTACTCTCTTATTTCGAATTGTAATCTATATTTTCTACCAATTTTAATAATTTTTTGGCAGAAATTCTCCTTATTTTATAAATATTTTAATTTGCTAAAATAATTCATTATCACAAATCAGATTATTCATGTGTGATTATTTATTTATTTAGGAAGTTGATATTGGTGCTCTACTAGGTCTCACTCCACCTCTTTCTCTCTCAAAATCAAGTTACAAAAGAGTCCTTAAATTACACCATTTCCGGTTCTTATGTTTTTGATTAGTTACTTATACACCATACAGTAGAGAACCTCACTTCCTTATTTGTTGCATAGATAAACTAATTAAAATAAGTAGGCTAGGAATTCTTTTTAATCTTATTATCTCACGTTACATGTATACCCTCTCTCAAACTCTTTTAAAATTCCAACTTCATTTTTAGAATTTCAATTTATCAACTTTTTCTTTACGTTCTCAAATTAAAATTTGACAATTAAGTTGTACTTTTTAGAATTCAATTTATCAACGTTTGAGATTTTTATTTTTAAGTTTAGGTGTTTGTTGTGATTATAAAAGTGTAATTTATTTCATGTACACACTATCAATATATATATATATATATATATATATATATATATATATATATATATATATATTTTTTTTTTCTGTTTATATGACAATTAATTTACAATTATAATGAGATTCTAGGCAATTTTTTCTATTTGTTTCCAACTCATATACTTTCTATTATAGTTGAATACATTTTATTTTTTAGAATCCTAATTTTTTTCACTTCTATTTAACAATAATTTATTTTTCCTCTTTAATTTACACATGAATTGTATTTATTAAGACTATTATTCTCAACATAGCATCCCAATAAATAAAATCTAGTGCCAAAATAATATTCATAGATTGATTCATCAAGAAGAAATAATATTTTCAAAATTAACTCAAAATATATATTTTGGAGAAAAAAGTTAGAAAAAAAAATAATAATAACGAATAATAACATTGCAATAATAGCCAATAATAGAAGCATACAGCGCTTGAGGAGGAATTTATTGGACACAAAATCATCTCTCTCTAACAATGTGAAATAACATTCATAATTAAGATGATAACCTCTAATCTATAAATTAACTAATTCTTTTAGTTCCTACCAAATTCAATTATTTTAGTTTCCCAAAATCATCTCTCTCTAACAATGTGAAGAAGCTAATTCTTTTACTTCCCACCAAATGCAATGATTTTACTTTCCTCCAATACTCCATAAGAGAAAATAATAATAATAATAATAATAAATAAAAGTTTCGTTTAATATCACCAATTGGGAAACTAAAACAAGCAAAATGCGAAATATATATGCAAAGAAGTTGTGACCACTGGTATCATGCAAAAGATTTTTTTTTTTTTTAACCAGTTGATAGTATAATTCAATTCTGTTGATAATTTTTACACTGTTGGGAATTGTCAATATAGGGCAAACTATGTTTTGAGAATAAAATAACAAAAGCTGCAAATAAATTACTTTCCAAAATTGTTTTGCAAACAAATTAGCATTATGTTTGAGCTCGGTTTGTGTTCGTTTGCTTAGTAAACGAATCGAGTTCAAGCATAATAATTGGACTCGTTTATTAAACGAGCCAATCTTAAGCACTTTTATGTTCGGCTCATTAATTTGTGAACAGGCTTGTTTAAGTACTCGTTTTAAGCTGGTAAATATATATATATATATATATATATATATATATATATATATATATTATACAATTATATAAAATATAATATGTGTTTAGCCCAACATACCAAAGGTCCAATTTAATGTTTAATAATCTCACACTTTTATTAGGCCCAATCCAAACCTCACTACTTTCAAATACCCAATATCTCTAGACACCCTCAAACTATCATATCTATATATTTTAATTCCTAACTCGGTCACTATATTTAGCCCCTTTCCAAACAAAACCCTTGCCGTCAATTACCATGTACATCTCTTGCAGACGAAAGCCACCGTCAAACCAAAGCTCTCAAATCTCACATCGCCGGCAACTGAAAAACAAGGATCGTTGGCGACCTTCTATTAACAATACTTTATCAACACCGAACTAGTGAAAGATTAGCTCTCTCTTATCTTTTCTTTTGATGGAGATCGATGTGAAGATATGTGTATATATGCATAACATATACAAAGATGGAGTATTGTTGAGAGAAGATCGATGTGAAGTGCGGCTGTCTCCGGGTGGGTCGTTTCATAAGGCTTCCTGTCGCCCTTGAAGGTTCGCCTTTCTCTCTTTCTCGATCTGCCCATACCTTCAGTTTTTGTGCTTTTCATATATGTTTTTATATATATATATATATATGTATATAAACAAATTTTGAACCGAGTTTTTGGCGAACACAGTTGAGCCGAGTTCAAACACTAAAGCGGAGATTCGAGCTCGAGCCGACCTCGAACACTCCAGCTGCAGATGGAGCCGAGCTCAAACAGCCCACTACTTAGCTTGGCTCGGCTCAATTGCAGCCTACACACAGTTACTTTTCATTCTCCCTAGTTTTATATTTAATATATTGAGAAAATTATATATAAATGGAGTTAAAGTTCCATATTTACTTAGAGGTTAAGTCAAAGTTCCATATTTCTCTAAAATGGATTGCTGAGGTGGCACATGGTTTTTTACTGTTTAGAAATTGTGGTGCCTAAAATACCCTTTCGCGAAGGTACTACTTTTTCTTCGAAGGTACTACTTTTTTGAACTGAAGGTACTACTTTTTGGTGTCCAGGTACCATGTTTTTTAAACACCCGCGAAGGTACTACTTTTTCTTTGAAGGTACTACTTTTTTGAACTGAAGGTACTACTTTTTTGTTAGGCAAGGGCATTTTAGGCACCACAATTTTCTAAACAGTAAAAAATCATGTGCCACCTCAACAATCCATTTTAGAGAAATATGGAACTTTGACTCAGTCTCTAAGTAAATATGAAACTTTAACTCCATTTATATGTAATTTTCCCTAATATATTTACGTTTTCATGCCTCCTTTATTTAAATATTTGTTGGTAATCTTTTGATGCATTGTTTACTTTCTCCAGATTTGTACTTTATTTTATTTGTACCATAGGTTTAGCCTCTTGCACCTTTACTTTCGTGTAGTTTCTTTTAGGCCTAATTTGGTAGGCAATAATGAAATAGAATGGAATGGAATGAGAATGTGAATGGAATAAAATGGTATTTTTATTGTCTCGTTTGGTTGCAAATATAAAATTATGTTGGAATAAATTGATAATCACAATTCTAGGTGGTGGTGGTGGTGGAAGGTGGCATTGGCGGTAGTGACAGAAGGCGGCATTCGCGGTGGTGGGGTTGGCGATGTTGGAAATAAAAGTGATGTTTCAGCATGGCGCGCAGAGAAGTGATTTAAATTTGCATTGGTGGAAATATGTAATAGAGTGAGAAATTTGTTTCAGGAAATATTGAAATTGCTCAAAGCTTGACATAAGGCTCTGATTGTTGAATTGAATAACATTTCTTGGAGAAGTGCCAGTTAGCTTTAAACAGTTACTTTGTGCTGGAAAAAGGTTGCAGAAACAATTTCCATCCAAATCTGTAAGAAAAATTTCACCTAGATCATAATTTCCTGTAGATATTTCTGAATGGAGTTCCTAAGGAAACTAGAAGCAGTAGTTTGGCTAATAAAGCAATGTCTTGAATATCACCATCCTAGGATACTTTGTTATAAGAGCCTACTTCAGAATTACACAAGAGCTCAAATTAGCTCTTTTGCTTTATCATTCATGGAGATCATAACAATGTGCTCCATGTAACTAACACGATAAAATAAATATAGATTTTTTTCCGGCCAAAAAATAGAAGTGTATTAACGATGTAATAATTAAATTTTGTAGACTATGTAATTATTTGGAAAGAAAATGCTGTAAAAAATTCGGAAACATAAATTATGAACATTACGGTTCTTTTTGCTCTAATTTCTACCACGTATTTTACATTTTCGGTTTCATATGAACCAGAAATAATAATGTTTTTTTTTTTTTTTTTTTTTTTTATTTTTTTTTATTTTTTTGTGGGGTGAAACAGGTATGATAACTATAGTTTGTTGCACAGTGTTTTATTAATAAAAATGTTTGAATTGTATTTAAAATAATGCTAATTGGTCTTCTTTTATATATATATATATATATAATCACTATAACTGTTCAGCAACAATAGTAAAAACGAGTGAAAATGACTTTTCTTTTCCTTTTAGATTCGGGTCTGAAACAGATGAAAACGGCACCAAACGTATTCTTGTACTTGACTTGTTTATTCTTTTCACCAATTGTTTAACAAAAACACCAAACAGAAAACAATTGCTAAACAAGCCTGAGTGTATAAAATTTTTGGAATAATTTTGAATAATAAGATAATAAAAAATAGTTAAAAAGAAAAAAGAAAAAAGCTTACTACACCTCGTACAAATTAATGGGTATTGAATGGGGCAAAAGGGGAGCTGCCTCCGAGCTGATGTTGCCCCGTCACCGTTTGAGATAATATTTAAGCTTAGACTTCTCTGTAGCGCAAATCACAGTAACTGTGTCACTCTAATTCTTGGGTAACTGTCTTAGAATTAACAGTGTTCAGACCTCATCTTTGAAGTCGATATAAATATGTTGGAAAATATATACTTCATATGATATTTAAGATATAACAAACCTTATACTAATATGCCATAAGATAATTAATAATATGTTCAAATGGTTCGGACCAATTTAAATATGGCTCGGTGAAATTGGATTAGGGTCTAAGTGGCTCCGACCATTTGACTTATGGTTTGAACTTACTTGAGTTAGGTTCAAGTCTAGAGAGGGAGAGAAAAAAATAAATTGATCGATTGAATTGTGACAACCCAATGGGGTATTTATAGACATAAAAGTGCTTTTTCGAATGGAGTGTCTCTTCATCACTGGACACAATCATTTATATGTGTTTATTGATGCATTCTCACAATCAATGAATATAGATGTGTATAATGCGACAATTAAGAAACACCAATTTTAAATTTATAAAGTCTACACAACTATATTTTAAGTATAGTGAATAAGGATTGAACACATGGACTATAGGCTTGGATTGAAATTAACATCAATGAGAGAGATTGAAACAATGATGATTGGTTTGTTTAAACTATTAATGTAATTAAACTAATTAGAAGTTGTAATTGAGATAATATGAAATTGAAATTGGATTAAGATAATAATCAGAGGGACTTAGGGTATGGATTTCACTCCTAAATCTATATTTAAGATATAAATTGGTCTCTGATTGCGTAGTTTTTATTGTTTAGTAATTTTCATATGATGTTTTGTTTAGTAATTTTCATATGATGTTTTTCTTATTATGGCCCATCATTTCATTTTCTTTATCCATCTCTTTGCTAACTTTCATCATGGCCTTAGAAAAGTTCAAAGAATATGGGAATTAGGTAAATTGGGAGTAGCTTTATTGAGAAAGGTGGGAAGTGGGAGTAGCTTGTGTCCTAGCAAAACTATAAGTTATATCATATATATATATATATATATATATATATATATACTAGTAAAAGACACGTTCGATGCACGTGACGTAGATTTTATAAATAAATAAATATAGAGGTTATATGTAATAGAGTTTTATTATAAAATTAATTAATAAATTTTTTTGTATTAAAAAATAAATACTAAAATTCTAAAACTCTTTACACTTTTATATTTTATTTCTATGTATTATTATATTATTATATATTTTATTTAAATATATCATTGTCTAATGTGATAGAGTTTTATAGAAAATAAAATAGATAATTTGTGGTAGAGTTTTATAAAATAATTTGTCATTTGCAGTAGAGTTTTATAGAAATTATTTTATTTTCTTTAAATATATCATTGTCTAATTAGATTTTCTTCTATTAAAAAATTAATAATAAATAGATAAATACACGTTATATGTGATAGAGTTAAAAAAAAAATAAAATAGTTAATTTGTGTTAGTCTTTTATAGAAACTCTTTTAATATATCCTTATTTAATGTGATAGAGTTTTATTGAAAATAAAATAGGTGTGATAGAATTTTATAGAAATTATTTACTTTCTTTATATATATATATATATATATATATATATATATATATATATATCAATTAATAAATATTTGTGTTAGAGTTTTGGAAAAATTATTTTATTTTTTATATCAATTAATAAATATTTTTTTATATTAACAATTCTTATCTCTTTAATTAAAAAACTCATAATAAATAGATAAATCGGTAACTTGTGTTACAGTTTTATATAAACTCTTTTAAAAATTTATTTTATTTTCATTAAATATATCCTTGTCTAATTAGATTTCATTTTATTAAAAAACTCATAATAAATATATAAATACAGGTGATATGTGATAGAGTTTTAAAGAAAATAAAATAGGTAATTTTTAGTAGAGTTTTATAGAAATTATTTTATTTTTTTTGTAAATATAGTCATAATAAATAGATAAATACATGTTATTTTTTATAGAATTTTATAGAAAATAAAATAGATAATTTTTGGTAGAGTTTTATAGAATTTATTTTATTTTCTTTAAATATATTCTTGTCTAATTAGATTTTACTTTATTAAAAAACTCATAATAAATATATAATGTGATAGAGTTTTACAGAAAAGAAAACCGATAATTTATGGTAGATTTTATAGAAATCATTTTACTTTTTTTAAATATATTATTGTTTAATTATATTTTCTTTTATTAAAAAAACTCACAATAAATAGATAAATAGGTAATATGTGTTAGAGTAAATCTTTTAAAAACTCTTTTTATATCAATTAATAAATATTTTTTTATATTATTAATTGTTGTCTCATTAGATTACTTTTTATTATAAAAAAAAAACTCAAAATAAAAGATAATTTGTGGTAGAGTTTTAGAAAAATTATTTTATTTTTATATTAATTAATAAATATTTTTTATATTAATAATTCTTGTCTAATTAGATTTTCTTTTATTAAAAACCCATAATAAATAAATAAATAGGTAATTTGTGTTACAGTTTATATAGAAACTCTTTTAAAACCTCTTTTCAAATCAATTAATAAATATTTTTTTATATTAATAATTCTTGTCTAATTAGATTTTCTTTTATTAAAACTCATAATAAATAGATAAATAGGTAAATTGTGTTAGAGTTTTATAGAAACTCTTTTAAAATCTTTTTATTTTATTTTATATATATATCAAATAATAAATATATTTTTATATTAATAATATTCGTATAATTAGATTTCTTTTTATTAAAAAAACTCATAATAAATAGATAAATATGTAATTTGTGTTATAGTTTTATAGAAACTCTTTAAATATATTTTTGTTTAATGTGATAGAATTTTATTAAAAAAAAAATAGGTAATTTGTGGTAAAGTTTTACAGAAATTATTTTATTTTCTTTAAATATATCCTTATCTAATTAGATTTTTTTTTTATTAAAAAATTGTAATAAAATGTAATTTGTGTTAGAATTCTAGAAAAATTATTTTATTTTATATATCAATTAATAATTTTTTTTTATATTAATAATTTTTGTCTAATTAGATTTTCTTTTATTCAAAATAATAAATAGATAAATACGTAATTTGTATTAGAGTCTTATGGAAACTCTTTAAATATATCCTTATCTAATGTGATAAAGTTTTATTAAAAACAAAATGGGTAATTTGTGGTAGAGTTTTAAAGAAATTATTTTGTTTTATTTAAATATATCCTTGTCTAATTAAATTTTCTTTTATTAAAAAACTCATAATAAAAGATAATTTGTGGCAGAGTTTTAAATAAATTATTTTATTTTCTATATCAATTAATAAGTATTTTTTATATTAATAATTTTTTGTCTAATTAGATTTTCTTTTATTAAAAAAATTATAATATATAGATAAATAGGTAATTTGTGTTAGAGTTTATAGAAACTCTTCAAGTATATCTTTGTCTGATGTGTTTTATTGAAAATAAAATAGGAAAATTATTTTATTTTCTTTAAATATACCCTTGTCTAATTAGATTTCCTTTAAAAACTCATAATAAAAGTTAATTTGTGTTAAGAGTTTTAGAGAAATTAATTTATTATATGTATTTAATTTTAATTGGTAATTGATTTGTGTCAAAGTTAACAAATTTGAAATTGAATTATCAATAGTACTCCTTTTAATATTTAATGTAATATAT